CTGGCTTGGGGACTGGGACCTGACTTGTGTTAAGTGACACATCAAGAAAGCAGGGGGTGGCATGTTTGTTACAGCAGATGAGTGAGTTCTTGCCAACTCTGAGAAGTAGTTTTCAGTGATGCTTTCTAGCATGCAAGGCTTCTGCTAGGCAAAGCAGTTTTTGCTCCTAGAGCAGTTCCATGAGATTGAAGGTGGTGAGTTACCTTCTGTTACTTGCCTTAAAATTGAGCGTGTAGGCTCAACTACCTGTGAGAGAGGCACACATGTTAAACTCTTTGAGTAAGCAAAGCTTCAGAAGCCAAACGGGCACGTTGGAGTGGTTATAGCCTCTTCTGCTGTCCAACTGCCCACTCAGTGAAAACTATAGTGTGCCAATAATTTCAGCCAGCATTTTTGTGCTGTTGGGGTGGAGTCGTGCTCTCACAGTTTTTGAAGGTGTTTTTATAGGCATAGTTTCTTGCAAAATTTGTTTTTATGCCCCTAAAATCTGGTGTTTCCTTTGACACAGAAGTTCTCTGATTTATTGGTACAATAACTAATCTAGCGCGTTTAAGGGGAAGGTATTACGAACCTTTTTTTTTCTGTCTTAAGTTTTACATCAGGGTAGGATGTTCTGAAGTCCAAGGTGAGGAGGAAGGTAGCGCAGATACTACAAGGCCTGCCAATCTGATTCGTACTGTTCAGAAATACAAAATAACTAGACTAAGAAGCTTACTGGTAATTAGTAGCTAATGTGTTTGTAACTATCATGTGCCTTAAAATTTTCATGGTAGGAGAATAAAAAAAAAATCAACAATGTGTTTTCTGTAATACTGCTCAACATTCTCTCTGTAGTTTAGACTGGTGGGATTTTGCATTGTATTTACACTGTACTATAAACTGGAACACTTAGAATGGTTTGATTTTAAAAGTATGGAGAGGAAAAAAAAGGTGGGTTATGCTTTTCATAGAACAAATGTTACCGTGACAGAATGTATTATTATTATAGGATCTTTCCATAATGCAGACAAGTAGAATGCTTGTTAGAAACCAGGTATGTAGGATAACAATTTGGTGTGTTTTCAATAAACCATGCCTGGAAAGAATATATGTGCTATTGGTTATCTTTTTGTTACGTCAGGTATCTCAAATACTCTTTGGCTTTACAATAGCAGTTTTCTGTGGCAGGGGATTACTCAACCCTAGCTCAGGACAGCACTTGCTGATAGTAAAAGGTCAATGGTAATGAGGGCAGTTGGAATATCCTTTAAACTAGTATAGCTGAAAATTTTTGATAGGTTGCCATATGCTGGAGTTGTAGCACAAAGTGCTGTGAGAACCCTGAAGCGTAGATCACGGGGTTTTTCTTCCTTTTTAATATACAAGCATATTTCTGTGGGAAAGACATTGCATCACTGTTCAAAGGCCTGCACATTTGGGACCACAAACCTAACTTGCTGATGGCTTTTCCATTTCGGAAGTTTTTAACCTTTCCCAATTTAGTCATAAAATCCATGTAACTTTACAAAGATTTCACATTTCTGAAATACATGCAAGTATTCTTATAAATATAAGCGTGTAAGAATAACAGAAAATCTTTAAGTTTGTTGTAGCGATGTATGAGGTTTGGTTGATATGAGAGATTGTTAGTTTGGAGATGTGCCAAATAATTTACATTTGTTGCTGTGTGGGGGAGAAAAATCCTGATACTGAAAAGTCAACCATCTATTTCAAGTAACAGCCAGTTACCAAAAGATCTTAATTCTATGAGAACTGCCTCTCCCTGGCACGTTCATCAGCGTTGATGAGATCAGTCGGAAGACTGATGCACCTAAACACATCATACTTACCACCCTGCCTTCATGAAGTGTGACAAAACCCGGTAAATTCTAATGTGTGTGTTCTGCAAGGTCTTACAGATAGAGTGAAGGTCAAGTTCTCTGCAAGTGAAAGGTTGATGAATCATTGCCAGTAAGAGAGTTTGCCTTATGTTAATTCCTGATTGTACCATTCACAGCACTATAAGGCTCCGTTTACTTGCGAATGCTTGCAAACAGCACTTGGAAGGTCATCTTCAGCTTGCCTTCCCTCTTTATTTCAGATGTCCTGAATGCATCCCCAGGAGTTTTGTAAAATCATCTCCGGATTCTGTTTTTGCAGCTGGAGGATTTGGTTTCACCATTGTTGTGGTAAGATATGGGCCCCTGGGCTTAGCATCTTGCTCCTGGGTATCATCAGTGTTCCGCTGCAGTGAGGAATCTGATTTTTTTTCTTTGTGGGTGCACTAATATGGCAATGAATAGAAGATGCTGTAGGTAAGGTACTGAGCTAAAACAAATATGTTATTTCTACAGCTGACCTTTTATAGCTGTCAAAGTGATTTCATTTCCAGCTTATCACAGGTTGTGCAAATGGAAGCAGCAAGTCCTGCAGGTGAAAGGTTAACCTGGTAACAACAGGCCAGAAATGCCACAGCCCTCATCTGCTTCAGGTTTCAGCAGTGTCTTGGGGGGAACATTCTGTCCTTATGGGTTTCTTCCCCAGTGTCTTACTGTGAAGGTCTCTGTGCCACTGACGCACAGCAATGGCAGGATCTGATTCTGGTACAAGCTGACAGAGGGGGTTTTCGCAATGGAAAGTTGTTTTATAATGGGACCATTAACCGAGCTGTAGAGACAGAGGCAAAGACTAAAAATGTTTTACTACATTTAATGTGCATGCACAGCAAACATAGCTAGCTGTTAGCCATCAGATACTTTATAATTGATTCCTAATGGATTGACTACTCAACCAAATAAGCGTACATCACTGCCCTGGTGGTGTCACCTTTGGTGGGAGCATTGGGATCTCAGTGGTCTCTCTTGCAGTTCTTGTAGGGGTTTCTGTATGTTCTCTTCACTGCATTTAATGTTTGACTTCTTGATCAAAATTCTTCAGTGGGCTGCTTTTCACTTCCTCATACCAGTGGGAGGAAGCACTTAACTACTGCACAAATGTATGATGACTGCTGTTTGCTCTGATGAGTACTTCCTGCTGCAAGGATTACTACATGGGTGCTGTTACACTCAACTTGGTATTAAATTAGGAAGCAAAAGGGACCGGTTCTGGGTTTTATTTCCTTGTAAGCCCTCCTTCTCTCTTGTACACTGATTTAAAGAATCAGTTCAATATTTCAAAAGACAACATCATGTCCCTTTGAGGTAACAGAGAGGCTGTGGCAGAAACCAGACCTCACTTTCATGTGTTGCCTGAATCACTAAGACAACCTAAGGAGTAGCTGTCATTTGGAGAACAGATCCCAATTACAAGTATTTGGCGGGATCAACCCTTCGCGACATGAGATGTGAGAATCTGCTGAATGCTGTGTGTTGTTCTAGGGCAGTTCTTTCTATTGGAAGCTTTCTACCAATGGTGCTCTCTGTCGGCAGTCTTTAAACACACGCTGCCAGATGCACAGTTCCATACCTGTGTTGTGCAAGAGTAGGTTGTGTCTTCTAATTGTGATAGGCTGATGTTGCAGTAGCACTCGATTGACAATGGATCTTTTAATTCAAATATATTCTAAAAACCTACTTTTTGCTTCTCCCAGAATTCAAAGCATGACTTTACTTTGAAAAATAACTCCTCTCCCTAGGAGATCTCACATTTATGTGTCAGTGACTCCAAATCATATTTGCTCAACTGACCAAAAGCCTTTTTTCTAATCGTCAGTCATGCAAACTGAGTCAGGGTTTTTCCTTTTCATCCCTTGCCACCAATAATTAAGAGCATTTCAGAAGTGTGATGAAGTGGAAACATTTTTCTTGTGTATGGAATTCTGTAAATAATGTTATGATACATACACTTTGTTTATTTTTACAATTTGCCATGTGGGCGAACCTTCTAATGAATTAAAATACATTTTTTTATACTAAAAGGTGGCTGCTATATTTGCACATACATTACACGTGTGTTATTCACTAATGCATCTTTTGAAATACCCATGCTAACTCTACAGGTTTCCTCCTTCTCTAATTTTCTTGACAGTCTCTCGGACAGTGATTTTGGCCATTAACTGGCAGTAGGAATGTATTTTCTGATCCTCTCTTGTAAAGTGCAGAACAGTCTACCTGTTTGCTCTTATGCATCCTTCAGCATCTATCTGAGACTTTGTTTATCAGTATGTGTTAAGTGCCCTGCTATGGCAGGAGTGTGTTTAGGTGCAGAGGTGTTTAAAGCTAGAAACAAAAGAGGATTCTTTGGAGTCATAGCCTTAGGTATACAGAAAAAATTCCTGGTCAGCCATATGTATCCAGATTTTCAGTGTGCTCTAGAAACTTGTGTATGCCAGTAAATGGATTTGAAGATTATTTCCTTTTGCCAGTGTTGCAAAAATTGCTTGGAATCACCTGAAGGACTTTTGCCTAGTGACTTTCAGTTGAGCCTGACTACCAAGAGGGCATGCTGCTAAGCAAGCCTGCAGAATACATCACTGATTTATTCACAGTGTGAGAGGGAAATGTTAGAATTGAGGGTCTGCTCCTATGCAGGACAGCACAGCAGAGTCACAAGAGGCTGCTTCTGCATAATCTAGTATAGTAAATCTTGGGTCTTTCTCAATGTGACAGAGTTTCAGTTGTTAAAGAAACTGATAATGTTGCCTTCTCACATTGCTGTGAAATGCACACATAACAAGCTGGCTGGGCCACCATGGTTTGCTTGATCTGTTTCTAAAGTGATGCTGTCACCTTAGCCTGTTCTAGTTTTCCTTTATACTGTCAGGCAATTGTCATTATTGATGTCCTGGAGGTGGATTTTCTGAGTCACACAGGCCAGGGTAGATACCACTTCAGTAAGGTGGGCTGTAAAAGGAAGCTAATAACAGGTCTGAAAGAATCCCTAATGGGAAAGATGAGTATGGTAATCCCTGATTTTCACTCTGATTTTTAGCTGTTGGATCTTTCTGTGCTTGTTCCAAGGCTGGAAATCCCAAGTGCAGTGCAGAATTCATGGGAAACAAAGGAAGTCATGTGTCTGCTCTATTGTTTTTAGGTTTTTATTTTATAAATGCAACCATTGCCTCATTATATAATCACAGCAGGACATGCCAGGAAATGCCAGTGGATTTTTGCATTGTTCAGGTGAGTTATACTTCAGATTTGGCTTTGTATCTTCTCAGTGACAACCCTCACTATTCACATGGTGTTAACAACACTGAAGTTAACCAGGCTGTGCGGGACCCACCTGGTAAAACCCATTCTCTCTGGTCTTTATTTTTATTTAGCATCTTAAACATGCACAGCATTCAGAGTAAGCAGCTTGCCCTGCCCCTATAAAGCGTACACTATGTATATACAATATAAAGAAGGGATAAGTAAATATGAGGGGATAAACATAATTTTCTCATGGTCTCTGATATTATGTAGTTTTGGTGGTTTTTTGTAAAGAGCTTGGTCCTTTTGTTATTGTTTGTTACTGTGTTTATTTAAATCTATTTATTACTTCAGTTTTCCTTACATCTGCATGGGCAGATTAATAATTTTATTTGTTTGTCTTCTGCAAAATTCTGGTTTATTTTCTCGTCACTGCGTGGGTTGGTCTTCTTTCAGTGCATGCCCTTTTCTCTAGCATAGAGATGATTAACTTCTGCAGTAACTATGCAAAAATGTATCTGATATCACAATAGGAGCTTTTACAGCAATAAGTGGAATGCTAGTAATTTAGCAAAATCAGGGCTCCTGAAATGGCCTTTCCTTGCCACACACATGCTTTTTTCCACTCTTGATAGTAATTAGTCAGTTTAGCTTAAGGACACAAGTTTTCAGAAGCTGCAGCAACTTTTTCCACCCCACCCTGAGCCCAAATTGTGGCTGTTCAGGTTTGAACTCAAAATAACACTGTGTTGTTTAATGATGGTCAAGGCAATATGCATCACCTTGGGTTTGCTGAATTATGTGAAACAATGGAACAGACCTTTGAGCAGTTACCCTACTTATTCCCAATCTTGGTTTCCACCTGGTCTGATCTCCACTAGTGCTTTAATTACAGACTCCATAATCAAAAAAAAAAAAAAATTAGAGCACAGACAAGTTAACCTGTGCAGTTGTGTTTACATCACTCGAAACAAAGGTTGAGTATAAATGGCTCTCTTTATCCCAAAAACACAGCCTTTTCCATAGCATCCCCCACTTCCATATATTCCAGATGAGATGGATAGTTAGTACATTGGAAATGGGGGTTGTTGCGGACATAGTTAAGGAATTCTGGAGCTCCTGGGACGATGACATTGTCAGCCAGAAAAACCGATCCCTTCCGCAGCAAGTTGCATTCCTAGAAAGAAGAGAAATTCCTTCATGGTGGCTGTTAAGGAGACATTGGCTAGATGTAGTGTGCTCTCATGTTAACCAAGTCATACTGAAGTGCCTGCATCCAAAACCCCATTGTACTACGGGTTTGGAGGGAAGAAAAGACTCGGGCGAAGCCGAATAACCTTCTGATCCTTTGTGGTCATGTTTAATATGCTGACTTTTTCTGTTAACACAATCAGTAGAACATTAGAGATGCTGATGACATGTTGCGTCATCCACGTTCTGAAATAGCAAATCCAGTGCAGTGGGGGTGTGCAGTTTGCTGCTCAGATTGTTTCCAACTATGTCTACATGATCAGTAAGATGGTTTTGTTTTGGTGCTCCTGCCTAATGTTTGAAAACTTTTTTTAATATTGCATTAAAATGTTGTGGTAGCTCCTAAGGTCACCTGAGAGACTGGCATGTACCAGTCTGCTTTGCCAGTCTCAGACAAACTCCAAAACCACTAAATGAATAAAAGAGATTTTTCTGTGCTGCTTTTCCTTTCATGTTGTACAACTTTCTGCCACGTTCTTCAGGAATTGGGCATGAAGCAGGGTTTGTGGGCAATGAAGATCACTGATGAATTTCCACAAGTCATAATTAACTTGCAATATTCATTTCAAGTGCAATGTTTATCCTCAGTAAACCTACAAACCTAGTCTTTACCGGTATTTTTGTCTAGCAGAAGTTGCTTATCTGAGCTTACCAGCAGTTTTAAAACAGTCTGTAGTTAATCAGGCTTGGTATCCTGTGCTTACAGGCAGTGGTTGTAGCCAAAACATGGGGTCAGTTTTGTGTATCCCAGTATATTAGAGAAGTCCTGCTGATGAGTGTGCTGCAGAGGCTGTTTAGCTTACTGCTCTTGCCTCTGGTGACTGAACACCAGTCAGCACAGTAGAAGCAATTTTATAGACATGGCAAATATCCTCTGGTCTGTTGTTGCACAGTTTAGAGAAGCCTACAAGTGACAACATGCTGGTTTCTTCCACTGGTCATCAGGATTTTAGATGCTTTTTGTGACAGCCTTTTCTAGAAGTGCATGAAAAGGAATGCCCTCTGGACCACTTTCAAGATACATTTAATCTGAATATTTTATATTCAGATTTCATATTCACTATTCATATTGCAATACATGCCAAAATTACACATTAGAAGGTTTGTAACATCTGAGAAAATGTGGGGATCTTCTCTTCATTTTTCTGCTCTTAATTTCAGATGGGTTTTTTTAAACAAAGCAACTTTGTCACAGTTGCATCAGACTGACCACTATAATGGAACTGAACTACCTGTTTGTTTTGGCTGTTTTGTGAAGGTTAAGCTCTGATAAGGATGTGCTAGCTCTTTCCAATGGAAAGAGCTCAGTCATCCTTACACAGTCAGTTTCAAAGAAAACATTCTCTGGGTACAAAATAACTGTAGGGGGGGAACATTTTCTTCAGCTACTGCTGTGTAAATTTAATACTGGCTGTTCGTAACCCCAAACAAATTTCCTTTTCAAACAGCTATCTGGAGGACAGGGCTGAAATTAAAAAACAGGGGAGCCTGGATGAGAAAATAAGGTTGTAGTCCTCAAGCAGAGGTCAGAAAGTAGTTAGCAGGTTCTCAATGTAAGAGGCAGCCTCAAAAGAAGTGGCTTTATTTGTGAAGAAAATAATTGAAAAATGATACTTCCATAGAAAGAGTTAGGCAGCTGTAGAAAATTTTATCAGCCTGCAGCTCCAAAGCTAGGAGAGTATCTGTATGTGCTGTTGATGGATATAGATGTTGTGAATCTCAGTTATTTAACACTTGAAAATACCCTCCTATCCAGAAGCTCTCTAGTAGTTACCTCACCTATTATTGCCTACTGCTGTTACAGCCGACTTGTTTTATAATGCTAACAGTAATGGTTAAGGTGGGTTGGGAAAAAACAAGCATAAGTTTGACACGTTCAGGGCTGGAGATAGAGTTGGTCAGCACTTCCCTAGCAAGTGCCTGACTGGGGCATTCTGCACTCCTCCAAAGGCTGCTTTTCAGCCAGGTGGTGTAAAGACTCCCATAAAGTTGATACCCAGCTGTGCTACCAAAATAGTTTTTCATCAGAAGGCTCTGCTGGCTCCACAGACCCAGGCGAAAAGAAGGGGTACTGAGGAAATTAGAGAGGTGCAGCTGGGATATGCAAGTCCTAAATCTCACCTGCTCCCAGGATTAGGATGTTTTGGGGCGAAGTGTTTCAGTTAGTGACCATGCAGACAGTCCTTCTAGGGACCATAAGACCCAGACTGTGCACTCCTCCAGCTGGGATTTCTACTGCAGACCCATTTGTTCAGGAAACAAAATGGTTTAACAGTATTTGCCAGATCCTGAGCTATGTAATGTCAGCAGTTGTCCCTGACAGGAGTTTGGCATCCTATCCCCCTTGTAGGTTGCTATATTGGCTGCCATTGTTCATTTTACAGAGGATGAGGTCCTTCATAAAGAATAGAGGCCTCACGGCTATCAAGGCATTTGCTACTTTATCTCTAAGACTGGAATTGTTCAAACTGACCTGAAGCAGGATGGTGTCTGGTGTGTATCTGTCTTTCCAGTGGTCCAAGAAGACAAAATCCAGAGTATCCACTTCATATTTTTTCTTCAGCTGGGGGATAATTTTCTCTGAAGGGCCTTCTAGGAGTTTTACCTGAAATGCAAATCCATCTGATTAATTGTGAACCATTAAGAAAAAGCAAATGCCTCTAGCTCATTTTAAATTGTGGCCAGACATCAGCAATCCTGATCACAGCTCAATATTGCCTCAGTTGAATTATTTCATAGAGTTAGATCAAGTGTACTTTTTTCATTTTGACAAATCAACTCTGTTGTTTTCCAAAGTATGGGTTTGGGTGCTTTTGGTGTTGTTTTAATAATGGCAGAAAAAGTGATCTGTTGTTTCTGTTGGATAATGTGATCCTTTACTGGAAACATGGGAATGTCCTGTTGAAAACAGTACTTTTAATTACTTTTTTAGTTATATCTCAGTTGAATCTTGTAGTCCAAGAGAAGCAAAAACTACAGAGAACAGGTTAGTTCAGAATAACGCTGGAGGCTACAGTAGGTAAAATTGATATGGCCCATAGAGGGAGGAGGCAGGACAGAGGCTATTATGTCTTCTTCACAGATTTATTGGCATAAGTACAGTTAAACTGAAAGAAGCTGCTGCACATTGATTTGTTAAGCAAGCACCATATACTGTGAGTGGAGGAAAAAAGTGGTAAGGAAATCTGTCTGGTTTATGACTCATATTTGATCAGAAGATTAAATCAGACGGGGAAAATGCAATTTTAGATGTCACTAGTACTTCAGTTTCTTCAAGGAGTTAAGAAATACATTAGAAGATCTCATGGTGGGATTTATTTACTCTAGTTTTATCATCTACGTTGGTGTTGTCTAGTCAAATAGGCATTTCTCAGGCATGAATCCCCTGACCTGCTGTAGGTGTCTGCCTTGGGCTGAGATGGATTATAGGCTGCATCTCAACAAACTGTAAGTACAGACAGTCAAGACACCCCAGATTGCTCAAAATTTAGGTATACATATTGTGACTGATTGGATTTGGGTAAGTACATCTCAGCTGAAGGCCATTGCACATAATGCAACTGTTTCTTTTGAAATTTTGTAACACATCTTGTAACAAGTTTTGTAACAAATCTTTTGTAACAAATTTTTGTAGTGAAGAGCTTTGGAGAACAGCCCTGATTGTTTTGATCACACACACAAACCTCAAACTCCACCCTGACTCTCAGCTGGGTGTGCATCATACTTGGACCCCTGACTGGTGCTGACAAAATTAGCTCACTTGCACTGTATATACAAAAGAGCAGACACCCTTGGTGCCCTGCATGGACACTGGTAGTTTTTCTGTGCTGTTAAGCCTGATGGTTAAACTCTGCATGTTCCCACTTAGGGCGCTGTACTTGGCTGACAAGTAAAAGACAAATTTAAACCTATTTTTGTTGTTTTTATGGATAAAGTCCCACTAGCAATATATTGCTTCTTCATACCAACCAGAGACAAATGGTATTCACCTTGTCTTGTACTCCAGCAAACTCAATGATCTGTTTAGCTATAGCAGCAAATTCTGGGTTGAACTCCACAGTGAGAAGATGAGCTCCTGCCTTCAGTAGCCGAGCAATCCTAACTGCTGAGTAGCCACAGTATGTTCCCAGCTCCAGTGCAACTGATGGATTGACCTCTTCCACTGTCTTGTCTAGAATTAAGCCTGAATAAAATGGAAATAGGTTAACTTTTGACAAACTGGTTCACATACAGAAGAGCAAGTTAGTGACAGAAACTTACAAAGTCCATGTACTGAATTGCTTAGGATATTAAGGGGTTGATGTCAAATAATATACTGTATCCTTTGCAAATTGGTTTATCTGTGGTCAAGTTGATCATGGATATTCTAAGTTTCAAAATGCAAACTTTGAATTAAAAAAAAAATCTTACTTTCACAATATAAATATTTCTGAGTAAGGAAGTACCTGAATGAACTAAAATATTTAAAGTGTTCCAAGGGAAAGATGCAATGTTTTTTTTTCAAGAACTTATTGCAGAAACTGGCCATATTTGTGAAATGTTTAACTCCTGAATTTTGAGTGCTCATATTTGTTGCAAATGTTACATGCAGCAGTCTGATAGAAAATTTCTTATCCTAAATACTTATTTCTAAAGGGAAAAAAAAAAAAGGGTCTGGTTATGAAGTTGCAAAATATTTGGATTCACTAGATGAATTTATGGGATGGAAAACATTAGTCAATTGTTAACAACAAAAAAATGTTTCCCAAAAGAAGTGACAGTGTATTATATTCAGTCCTTCTGAAGAAAAGGATTTATTAGTGAGAAAATTATCTCCTCTTACTTGTATGGCTAGAAACTAAATAACTAATCTGAAAAAGTATTTGAAGGGTTTTTACATCGAGCCATGGAAATTTTCAATCTACATATGCATTTCATTACATGATATCTTCCTGGGTGTCATTTGTTTATGAATAGTGTGAAGATGATGCATCTTGAGATCATGTGGTCACTCAAAAACTTAGGGACTAAAGATGCATTAACTTTAACTCTTATCTGATGAAAGGTCCTCTCGTCAGAGCAAAACTACGAGTGAAATTTTTAAGAATATAATCCCAAATGATCAAAGTTTAGACCTTCAAAAATTCCTACTCAGCCACCACCTACTGTTCTGTTGCCCTAAACATCCCAGCCTGGCATGCAAAGGAGCTAGTTCCACAAAATGTACCCATGACAGGGAAGCATTTTTATTACAATGCTTACAGTTGTATTTCATTGGCTATGTTAATCCCAGACTAAGCAAATTTCCCCTGCAATTTCCCAGCAAGAGGTACTTTTGTGTCTAATTCATAAGGGAACATGTTAATGTTTTGCCTTTACTGTTTTTTGAAAAGATTGTCACTTTCCTGCAGCTAAGAAAATAATGTTTTGTCCATGTATTTTCCTTTAGGAGGCAAGAAAAAGATTATTTACTCACTAAGTAGCAAGACTGTGTGATAGCTGCTTTTGTGTACTACAGGGGTAGGATTTCTCCCCTCAGTAGTAACATATAACTTATGCTTGCATATATAAAATTCACAGTTTAAAATACTTTTTTTTTTTTTTCCAATTTACTATCTTTCAGTTAAGGATCTGAAAGTACTTAATGAATTATGTCTTAAGGCCACAGTGTATAAGAACTGAGGTGTACCACAACCCTATAATTTTCCCGTAAATTGTCAGCCTCTGCTTACACACTTGCAATGAATGTATACAACATTCAAACCCAGATTTGGGCCTATGACTTCCTGGATTACTCACTGGATACCCCTCCTCAGAGACATCTGCACAAGCATGCATTACTGGTTACAGAACTACTCTGCTGACCACAAGGCTGTTGTGGATTTTTTTATGCAGCAGCAGCTGGAAGTTACCATGTGAATACAGTAAGATGTCCTGTACTATGCTAGTCTTGAAGGATCTTTCAAGTGCTGGTCCCTGCCACAATTACCTTTCTCATTGCCCACATTCATGGCCCACTCTTTCTGGGAGCAGTACTTATCTATAGTGTCCAGCACACTACAGGGGTCTCCTCGGACTGCATTCTGCAGCACGAAATTTAAAATCCTCTGTTCTTTGCTCTGATTCATGATAAAATTGGTTATTTTCTCCCGGATTATTTCATTCCAGAAAATGGCAGCAGTGCCGTTTTTCCTGATGAGCACCCCAAAGAGCAGCAAAATGAAAAGCAGGAAGAAGACAATGAACAAAAGGACTGAAGAGCTCTCCAGCATCTGGAAGGAAAGAGAAAAACAGCCCAGGGTTAAGGTGGCACAGGAGAGAGCAATCTTTTTTGTAAACATTAAGCTGAATAACACACAACCAACCATGCTGAACAGGAACACACAGAGTTTAATTATGATGTTGTCCAGAGTAGCTGAAAATGACACTCTGTTACTTGGTAATGGATGGTGCTCTGTGGCACTCCCTTTAGAAGCCAGTTTTCCAGGCAGTCAACAAGTAGCTTTATTTAATGCTGTGGTCCCTTCCCCCACACAGCTGCTTAGTCCTGGCTCCAAGCATGCCACTGCACAAGGGGCCTCTCAGCATCAAAGCTGTTCTAACCATTTTTCAAAGGATTTAAAATCTTAAATTAGAGCCTGCATATGATCCCACTCTCCTAAATTTTGAGCACTGGGCAACTTCTAAGCTGGCCTTGGTAAGAAAATATGGAACATCTCACCCTTTAATTTTGAGCACACTAATAGCAGAAACTGGGCACTTAGGTAAGTTTCAAATCAGTCTGCAGGTCCTAAATTACTACCCCTTTGCTAGCACCTGCCCTTCTTGCATGCTCTGCAGAGAAGCTGAGCCTGATGTTTCAGCAGGATTTGACCTCCCTCTTTCTTTTCAGAGCCTGCAGCAGTGGTACCCAGGTGGAATCATTTACAGAAGACTACACTTTTTCCTGCTTATAAAACCTTTGACATGACTCATCAATGTGATATGTTTGAGATCAAAAGATAAAATTCCTTTTATAAAGTAGGGATGTTTTCTCACTGGTTATAAAAACATAAAACTGATGCCTCGAATCAGAGAAGAGCCCAGGCTCATGAAATTGAAGAGATGTAACAGAAGGGCACACTGTAATTCTCTGATGGGCCAGCTCAAATTATCGAATGGGATTGTGCCTATTCTCCTCCTGAAATTTGGTGTCGTAGGTGCCTAAGTGTGTGCAGCATGGGTGGTGTGTGTTTCTGTTTGAGAGTTTAAGGCATCTGAACATAAAGCTCAGCAGATGAGGTACATGTCACTGTGGACAGCTCAAGCAATAAATCCCATCAAAGCCATTTACTCTGATGGATTTCAGACAAGCCGCAATACTGGAAGGTGCATTTACTTCCATGCAGGAGTCACAGCACAAAAGATCTGATAAAGAACAGGTTCTTAAAATTAAGGAATTGATTTAGCCTTTGAGAGGGTGCCAAACTAAGGGTTGTGGTTTGCCTGAGGATTCTCTGCATGTGAAGCTCCTCTCATACAACCCAAAACACAACTCATCTCTGATGGTGGAGTTTATAACACCTCCACTTTTCCATGTCTACTTCCCACAAGTGAGGGCTGACAGTTGCACACTGGGAGGAGAGCACAGGTTGGAATATGCTCCACTTAGTTCTGGGATGAATGAATGCTATGTTTGTTGGTTCTTTATGTCTAATTAGGCATTTAAACAGAGATCTGAGCGATTCAGAAACAACTGTTTAACCTTCAACAAGATGACTTGAGTTGCACTGCTTTTTGAACTGTTATTCTTAAAGAGCATGACACTCCTTTTCCTAGTGTCTGATTCTTTCTACTAAGTCTCTCCCAGCTTGCTAAAAATGGTGACTAGCTTCCGCCTGCACTTCTATTAATGTTCCACCAACCTGGAGTTCAGCATTGCTCCAACCGGAGCTACAACATCCTTAATTTTACGAACTTGCCCAAGACCAGAGGTAAAGGGGCTATGTGATTAGCCAAATATTCCACCAGATCTCTTCCTACCTCTTCTTGCTTCCCTTTTTTGTTTGTTTCCCCAAAAATTGTCTGAGGGACATCCTAAATTTCATGGGTGGTTGGACTTTCACTCTGTAGTGACACTTGGCACATACACATTACACATGGGAAAAATCTATCCAACTGCTTTAAATTTTGAATCATCATGCAGGACACATTTTGAGTTCAGATGATGACTGAGTTTCCATGGAGATACGTTCAACCTACAGTACAGCTGATGTTTGTTCACACATCCACTTATCTTAGTTGCACAGCAAGTATGATTTATTTGGAGCAGTTAAAAGTCTATTTCTCTTGCTTTTAAGTAGTCACTAATGTTAATACCTACCTTTAACGCTTTCCTTGCAAAGTCTGACCCAAGACATTTACTTTCAGGGCTTGCCAGCACCATTAGCACATGAAAATCTTACGTGGGCTTTCTGAATTTTGTTTCCTACCTAATAAGGACTTGCTTCTTTACCTCAGCAGGATCACAAAGGCCTGAATTTCATTTTATTTCTCTTTCATTCTATGTGCTAGTAGTTCTACTGATCAGGCCCAAATGTCCTGCACCTCCGAGGTGGGACCTGTCCTCCTTCTAGTTCTTCTACGTGAAGGTGTTCCACATTATCTTTCCACTGAGAACTTGAATTAGGCTATGAAAATATCATTAGTTTAACAGAAAGAGATCTCTCTAGCTTCACTTGGCTTTCATGTCTTAGTTGATGGTCATTGTTGATGGATTTGGATTACTGACATAGTTGAGATATTTGTTCTGAACTGCAATAAACGGATGGAGCCAAGAAGCCATTTACTGATGCCAGCAGGTACCTTACCCTCCTGCCTCCGGACAAGGGAAACTGCGTGAGCCCCACATACCAGTGACTCACTTGTTGGCAGTCTGACTGTATGCAGGTACCTCTAGAACTGAAGACTGTTGGCATTCAGAATTATTTCAAACTACTTCCAGACAGAGTCTTCTGGTTACGATGGCATCCTCTGAATACAACTTGTTACAGGCTGTTGCTTTGGCACTATGAGATTCTGCCAGTGTCTTAGGGGCTGCCCTTCAAAGATCTGTCAGAGAGCAAGAATGGATGATAGCTGCAGGATGAACTAGGTGGAGCATTTTTTGAGGAACAGCTTTCCTCCTTTACTGCTTAGTTTAGATATGAGACCATTTGGTGACATTTGTCAAAAAAGGGAAAGAGAGCATCTGTAGGTTAACTCAGCCCTGCTCCCTGTCCTGCAGGAATGCTGAGACTTCTGTTTTGCACAGGGAACAGAGTGTGAAGACTTCTTTTCATACCTTAACAAAAAGGACCTGCTTGACAGTAAAATCCTGTCCCTCTATTTTCACATTGCTTCCCAGGCATGGAAGGGTATACCAGCAAACCAGGTTTCCGCTGTTTTATTTTCCCACACTGCTACAGGCCTTATACACTAAAATAACAAGACATCACTTGCTCAAAAGCCCATGTATTAAAGAAGGACAGCTTCTTCATTGCCTGCAACATGGGAAATGCTATTTTTTAAAATGTCACTGTTAGCCAGAGCAGACAAAAGCACTCAGATTAGACCTGCTGACTTCCAGTAACTTCTGCTGATCTCAAACAAACCAATTTTTAACCATCATCCTTGCTTGGAGAACAGTATCCTTTTAAAGATTTTGTTGATTTAAAAGAGCACACTTTGTGTAGAGAAAAACGCCTTGTTTGATATGTACATGCCTTATCTTTTCAAAGGCATAGACTGTATTTAGGCTGCTGAGACCCACAGCAGGTACTGCAGTGTGACACCCTGCTACCAAGATGCAACTAGTTAGGCAAAATGTGTAAACCAGGATATCCTTCTGAACCACGCAGTTAGCCATAGCCTTCTATCTCTTCTAGCCCTTCCTTATGCAAAAGCATGAGCAGGCTGACAGCCCTTTAACTTGTCTGGAAGGGCAACAGCTGATAGTTCTGCTGGGCCAGCTGGGAAACAAATTTGGGATCTTCAGCTATGCAACCTTATCGCTTCAAGTTCCTCCAAGTACTGACCTGCATTTCTTTTCATGTCTCTTCGGATCTAGACTGGTGAGTGGATGTTAGCACTTGTCTGCACGTTTGGTGTAACATATTTGTCAAGAAGACAAAATATAAATTTAAGCTCAAATGTGTGTGATGTGTGGATGGTCTTAGATCTAGAACTTAAGCAAGCAATTCAGCTTGGCCATTCCTATGATCAAGTGCTCACTGGGATCCATTTCTTACAGTGCCTCAGTTAGATTTTTGCACTTCTGAGTCCCACATGTATGCTACCATACATAACAGCAGAGCCCACCTGCCTCCACAGATCCTTAGAGGTTGCTCACAGGTACCAACAACCTATATAGTACATGCTGCTTTTTTCCATTCCTATACAAATTCACTTGGTTTTGCTATATTAAGGAATGTTTTTCAACTACTGAGGTTTTTTTAATTAGTATTATTATTTCTGTATAACACTCTAGTGCCTTCATAAACTGGCAGCATGGGTTGTTCTTAGCCAGAGCTCCTTTAGGAGGCAGTTATTCTGAAAGCCATTTTCCAGAGAAGGTAACTTTAAAAAGGAGCAAAACAGGCGTATCTTGGTTTTCTTTTATTTTCTTTTTTTGTTTTTCCTTCTTTTTAAACACAGTTTCTTTTTCAAAGCTTGTTCCTCTTAATTTTTGTCATCTTAGATGTAAAAATAAACTTAGTGATAGCAGTAGACTGTAAAAGCAGCCTGCCAAGAGCAAGATGCATTGGTGATGGTCATGCACCCAGAGGGAAAAAAAAAACAACTGTACCAGAATAGGCAATTGCTTTCATATTCTTAGATGGAAAATATTTGATATGAAAATTAAGTGCATAATTCAACCAATTTAAAACTACCACTACCTAAGAGACAGTCATGTTATGACATCTTTAGAAAATGCAACTGTAATTTTAGCTTTAATGTGGATTCAGAAGATTCATTAAATATGCAATAAAACTGAACTTGCACAAAGTCAAATTTCCCATAACCACTTATTACAAGGCAGTCACTCTTAATACTTGTACTGAGGTTCCAGATACACAAGTTAGCACTGCAACCTCTTCTGTGCATTAGAAACACCATGATAAAGTGAGCCTTCACTTTGAAAGCTAAAATTTGAAGTGGAAAGCAGTAGACAAAATGAAAAATTCAGCCACAGAATAAACAGAAAACCGGAGGGATGACATTATGGAAAGGAATGAATAACACATATCACTAA